TTTTGCGGACCAGCAACTTTCCATTTGTCGGGTCACTGAAGTCGACACCTACAACTGAAATACCACGTAGTTGCACAATTAACTTCCAGAACTTCGACGGCCAGTATTTCACAGGGTTAGCTACATTAACTCCTTGCGATCTTGTTACCGTACGAAAAGTGCAAAAACGCATAATCGCACCGGCCCGTCTGGTGCGTTCCAGCCTGGGTTAACTGTCAAAATTCGATTGCGCTTCTCTTAACGGTGGGTCAACAGCGTCAAACAAATTGCATATGTTAACACATGGAAGATTCAAGGCCCCCGTTCTCTTCCAATCTCCTTGCCAGGAATATTCACTGTTTGTATCCTTAAAATTTCTACAGCACTTTTATATATAGAACAGCTTGTAACTGATGAGCACAAAACCAAGAATGGATAAGTTGCCAGCTACAATAATGGTGAGAAGGAATGCGACAATGGAACCAAATTCAATCAAAACTTCAAAATGAGTGGCCCAGTAATTTTAAGTGACTTACCAGTAAATTTACGGATTCAATGACATCCAAAAATACTTCATTTTTACGATATTTTAGACCTTCAGAACGCCATGAAACAGCATTTGTTACAGCCATTGGTGGTCGCGGTGCCGACTCTAGCTTATGGCCCTCTTGTGTTATAAACCTAAAAACAGTTTTAGTAAAAATTTCGAATACGTAAAAGTGATCTAGTTTGGATGTTTTATAAACACCCAGCTTTTGTTCATAGAGAGTTCACGGACAGGAAATTCTCATAGATCTGGAAGATATCATATTCACAATGACAAAAAAAAATACACTATTCACTTAAAATCCGAGAAAACCTCTTATCTCTTAACAATTCGAGCTTTGTCAGCATGAAGTTACTGTTAACGAAGTGCTTTTTGGGCTGCTTTTCATAAGAAAAAAAAAGCAGAAAAAAATTCCGGCTTTTAACTCTAAAAAAAAAAAAAGCTGAAATGATGCTTTTAAAGAATGAACGGTGCTCATCGGAAGTCCTACTGCTGATAAAACGCTAGTAATCCAGTCATTTTCGAGAGCTTCTGTTTTTCATACCAAAAGAATATCAAAACCGAGCGGGCAAATTTCAGTGTGGGTATACCCTGTTAATGATGCTAAAAAACTGGTATTTTTTCACAAGGCAAGTGCAGTTATCCTTCTCATGCAAGTGAAATATAGAGAAATTTACACCTCAGCTTCGTTCAAAAACTTACAATTGCCATTCAAAAGAAACAAAGAATAAGAAACCAACGGAGAGGTGCTGAACTTAGAAACCACCAAGACAGTTCGATTTGTCCGTATGAAGGCTGATTTCACACTAAGAAGCCGGTACATCTTGCCAGTGAAAAGCCCAATAAACGTGAACCCAAAGAATTCGGTTAATATAAATGTCCAAAAGAAAATCTCATTACTCTTGTAAAATTTTTCCTTCCGTTGTTTGCGGATAACCAAAATCCATCATTTCATCGAGCAGCTCATAGATTACCACAAAATTATCCCGAATCGATTCCTCCTCAACATCTTTGAAATAATCCTCGAACACTTCCACCAATTTGTACAAAAATGCCAGGACCAATGCCACATTCACATTTTTGCGTGATATTGAAACAACTGTAAAATAAAAAAGAGCGTATGTGCGAAAAGGCTGAAAATGCTTTAAATGCAACAAAATATCGTCATAAACTTCTTCCGTCAATTAAATTATCGAAAATAT